TCTTTCTCAAATCCTGTACTACGTTACATTAAATTTCTTGTCATTTCATAAACAAGCCATGGTGTCACTTGCCCCAGAATTCATCTTCTCTGTGGATATGCACAGAGATCCTTTCTAGTGGTACCTGACACTGAACTGCTTCTTCTATCTGGACACTTCTATCCAGCCCCTGCTGGAGGGTCTGGCTATGTCAATTCAGGTTTCCTGGAATGTCATGAAATAAGTAGAGCAGCCTTGCAAAGTCTTTTTCAGCACTCCCTCCCAGAGTCTGGTCCCCACCTCAGAAGTTTTTCCTAACATGCAGCCTACAATGCACCGAGTCAGGGGCAGTGCTGCCCTTGCCTTGTTTGCAGGAGATGGAGGACTGGAACGTTCGCCTGTGTTCTCATCATTACCCATGTGGGATTCCAGCTGTTACCTGCAACAGGGCATGGGGTTCACGCCAGAACCTCTCTCTCACCCTTTGTTGCTTGCTATTCCCACCCCAGGGGATGCCAGGTTGCATACAGAGGACCAAGCTAGAGAGAAGGATGAAGGACTGGGGAACTGGCAACCAGGGACTGGGGACTGGTGTGGGTGTGGGTGGCCCCAAGCCAGGCTGAGTGGCTGCTCGATATCATTTAAGCCTCTTCTCTCATCAATTATATGAAAACGAGGACTTGGCTGCTTTTCTAATACACTTGAGTTGAGCATGACAAATGACTCTGGCAGGAGAGAGAAACTTTCCCAAAAGAATGTTCTTGGAGGCTGTAATTAGCACATCTAGCCTCCCACGCCTCGTTCAGGGTGCCCATGTTCAGGGCCTGTGCTGATCCTGGAGCAGATCACCTCTGATCTGTGCTTTAGGAAGAACATTTGGATTCAGGATGCAAAATGGATTACAGAGAAATTCTCTGAAGTTTATTGGAAACAAATGCATTTAAATAAAGGATAACAAAGAAAAAGGGATGTTTTGGGGCTGACCCTGGAGCCTAGTGGTTAAGGGAACCAGAGTCCAAATGGCCAACTGCAATTCAAGTCCTGGCCCCAATGGCTTGAGAAACACACCAGGCATGTGTGTGTCCATGCCCCACATGTGGAAGCATAAGCTTTAGTGGGACATTTTAGCTTCCTCTTTTCCTGTCATCCCCTGCAGAAGTCCATGTGCTCTCTCAGCCCAGCACGAGGGATTTGTCCTTGGTGAGAGCCCTGGAATGTGAAGTGCATTCATTTCATGGTCCAGATGGGGGTTAAGCTTCACTCTGAACCATGCAAGCATGAGGGGGTTGAGACAAAGCCCCATATACTCAGAGTTCTGCTCTAGCAGCCTGAGATTGCCCATAAAGAGAGAGAGAGAGGACTTCATGTGAGTCTCTGGGTGACCCCAACATCTTGAGGTCTCCTTGCTCCAGAGGATGAGGTTCCTGGGAGAGTTGAAGGGGGTTCCTCTAAGAAAGACTGTATTCTACACAATTTCCAGAGACAGAATTTCCTGTGAGTCTCTTTAGTTCTTTAGAGTTGGGAAGTGACTGACAGAAGCCAATGACCCAGGTACTGAAAAGAGGAGAAGCATGGAAAATCCCTAATTACAGCAGATGCCTTGAAGTTTGGGGGTGGTTCCCCCTAGGAAGCAACCCATTCATCTAAGGGGAGTATAAGTATTTTTCTTCCTTGAATATGGTGAAAGCAAAATAAGACCACGGTCGGAGAAAATCAAAGCAACCGGTGACTCCAGGATTAAGGCTAAGGTGTGTTTGGGATTTGAAGCACTGACCTATTTTGGCTAGAAAATTAAGCTCAAGAAATCATCAAATTAATGACCCAAATCACCGGCACTCATAAAAGGGGCCTCCCCTCTCCCGGTGTCAGAAGGTGCCCTTTCCTCACAGCTTTCTGACCTCGCACATCTTCCTGCATCCAGAGACCATGATGAGCCAGCAATCCAGCAGGGCCTCCCAGGCCACCAAGAGCTCCAGTGGCCTCTCTGC